TCATGTCTTCAAACATAATTGATTGTAATATCTGGACCCGTCAGTCATTGTTATACAATGGCGGAAGATCGAGGTTCTGAAATTGGTGAGTTAATATCACAACATGATAGATGATTCTCATCAAGGCTAAATGTTGTTCAGCTGTCGTTCTTTGTGTCTTTATGGGACTTTCGTGGCTGTTCGTTTTTCTTAGGGTTATTGTCCGTTTGTTCATTACAAAATCTTGGAGTTTTGATGATTCTTTACTTACGGTGTCACTCGTCAGTTCTTCCTTTAGAATTCATTCACTTGACTAATAGAATCAGTTTCTGTACACTCTCTACGGCACAGCAGGGTTACAATCTGTAAGGTTCGGGAATGGACAACATGCCGATCAGATTTCGCGTGAAGATCTCCCCAGAGCTCTCCAGGCATGGTGGTTTGACGAGTGAGTGTGCCGGATTTCTTGTCTTGAGGAAACTTGTCATGTTCCATTGTTACATTCCAGCTTAGAGGCTGAATCCTAAACCATCGCTAACACATTGCTCAGAAGCCTTTATGCCCTCACAACTCTTTTTGTCCGCCTTTCGATCTCTGTATTTCTTCTCAGATTGTCCACTCGCTCACTACATAAGAGCATCATCTACGCAACCCAAGCTTCTGTCATTACTTTTACCATAATTTTCATTGTTCTCGTTTTTTGTCAATGCACCCCGTTTGACTATTTCTGGAAGCAATATGAAGGTGCAACAGGCTTCTGCATAGATAGCAGTATAGTTCCAGCAGCCAGCGTAGCACATTCCGTTATAGGATTTACTGCGGACTGGACGCTTGGTCTTTTGCCTATCTGGGTTATGTGGGGTTCGAAGATGAGTATGAAGGCGAAGCTCTCTATCTCCGGTGTTCTTTCTCTTGGCTTACTGTAAGTCATTCATAAATATACAGACCGTGAATAAGATTTTAATACTTGAAATTAGGGCTGGGATCGCAACAATAATACGTATACCTTTCATCAAAGATCTACCGATCACGAATGATTTTCTATACGTAACCACAGATATAGCTATCGTACGTACATCTGCGATTTCTTTAAGCACGTTCTAATGTCTCCATACTAATTCCTATACAGTGGTCCACCATCGAACCCGGCCTTGGAATAATTGCATTCAGTGGCGCGACTCTCCGCCCTCTTCTCCGTCTATTCTTTCCCGAAGCCTTCTCTTCGCTTTGTCCCAATGAATCTCTCGGCCAAATCCAACCATATAGAACTACTTATACCGAAAGACCAAATTATATATATAATATGAATCTCATCGCCAATAAACAATCTTCCACACATCGAGATTCAAATTCTACATATACGGCTTTTGATGGACATTCGAGGGCTTCGAGCTTTACGTCGTTTACTTGCAGTACTTTGTTTGATAGTGCGAGAAGTTCTAGAAGTACAATTGGCATGGGTAAAGGGAGAATGGGGAGTGTTGGCATGCTGGGGGGGTTGAGGATGTCGGAGTTTGGGATCAGAGAGGTGGATGAGGAGTTCTTTTGTGAGGGGGAATCGGGAGATAAGAAGAGAGAGAAGGAAGTGGGGGTACATGTTACAGTTGAAGAGCTTCCGGATGAGAGTGTAGAGGGTTTGGAGTTGGAGATGGGAAGCAAAACCAAGTCGGTGACGGAAACAGAGATACAGTGGCCTCTTAAGAGTGGGAGTGTATGTTTGAGTATGAGGACTTTGAAAAACGATGTATTCGAGAATAGGGAGTGGCCGTTGAGGCCGAGGAGTGATAGTGCGAGGACTCTGGTCAATTCTAGGTGTTCTTCTATGGGTAAGGGGTCCATTGGGAGTGTAAGAGATATGGTTTAGCTATTGATTCTGTTAGGGAAAATGGGTCAGGTTTTTGGTCTAGTGTTCTGAGATGGGTTAGATGACCGAAGTTTGAACTCGAGACGTGTTAATATACGCCGATTGGGTATAGAATATGAGGTTCCGTCGTGTATATAGATGTAGACAGAAGAGATCTAGAAGGAAAGATTAAAATTAAATATAACAATACAATGAAGACTTGAGAGAATTATCTTGCCTGGAATTTTGTTGGGACTCACTTGGTGATTTGATACTTGATGAAATTCTCTTCTGAAAGCCTACAGAAAGCAGAGGATTCGAAGAGTATCCTTTCTCTCTCTCTCTCTTATACAGGAATTATTCCACCAAATATTCTCCCCTCACTTTACACTTCTTTACTCTCCGCCCTCTACTCTCCCCTCTCCACTCTCCCCACCTCATCCTCCGCCCTCCACGCCCTCATCCCTTTACCCCCTTCATCACCAATCTACATATAATCCCTATCCACTCCTCCTCTCGCTCAAATCCCTTTTTTGCATATCTGCTTCCGCGTCTCAAGTCCAAACGACCTAAGATCGCATATCCAAACCCTCTGGATCTTGAAAGGAAGGAGTCCCACTCACAGCGTCGTACTAGCGTGTAGATATAGAAGATCGGTAGATTTTGTATCCTGATAGGCAGGAGATGGTGATGGGGTTGGGAGTTTGGAAGTGTTTCGTGAGTGGATGTGGATGTGGATGTGGATGAGTGAATGAGTCAGCCGGGGGGGGGGGTAGTATCATAGATCACAAGTATATGGATCGGTAAGCTCTTCAAGAGGGTATATATACTATGTGGCCTTTTTTCGAGACAGTCGGGTTGAAGAATGAAGCGAAATACTATTTTACTGGGGTTATACGGGGAGTTCTCGTGGTTCTTTTTGTATTGATTTCTCTGGAACGGGGAATGTCTTTATGGAGATGGAGATGAGAGAAAAGAATGGGATCTGGTTTATTCACTGATGTGGATACGAAAAGAAAAGATAATATGGGGGTTTGGGGATGGGGAAATTGGGGAACGAGAGTATTTAGTGTAGTTTAAACTATACAAGACGGAGAGTCTGTGATGGTGGTAGTTTTCTTGCATCTCTGTACAACTTATGGATGAAGGAAGTTGTATTTTAGAAGGAAGGAGGGGTTGGGAATCGACTGGAATGGGTACAGTGTGTACTATTTAGGATTGGGAAATGGAAAGTAATGCCGGTGGGATTAGGAATAAGATAGCTGAAAATTGTAAGATCTGAAGATTTAGATTTATATAGTGGTTCAACTTCCCGAGTGTGGTGATGGTGAAGTTCTTATTGGTGATGTATAGATAGCAAACATTATGAGGGTGTTCTGTCGAAAGCTAGGCTTGAATTCGCTGGGGCGTGGTTCTAGATATGAAGAGAGGTGGTGGATGGAGGAGTGGTTGGATTTGAGATTTGAGATTTGTGGAAAGGTGGTTAGTGAATATTGATAACAGTGACACATAGATAAGAACAGAGTGAAAGTATTGATATAAGAATGTAATCAAGAACTTTGATAGCCTGTACATCTCAAGGTTAGATGATGAAGATTTAGACTCGCATGGGACGAACTCCCGATAGATTCACACCCGTATATTTACACTTTTATCGATAGCTCTTCGAAATACTCATATCGACATGCCAGCGAGTAGGCAGATATCAAACAAGATCTGGCAGACCCCAAGCACCTCTCTTGATCGGGTCATCCATGCAAGGCAAATTCATCGATGTTAAGATCCTAATCCTCATGAAACCTCATTCAACATGAGCGCAAATCAGATGAGAAGGATACTATAATTCGCAGCTCGGTGAACTACTAGGGAGTAATCTGCCAGATGCTTTGGGCTTCCAATTAGGCATCCGTCTGACTGGGTAGTCTCCATTCACTTCTGTTTGCTTGTGTTTATAACAAGAACACCGTATGGAGATTATCTGACGTCTATCCTAGTCTTTGACGTGGAAATTCTGTAGCGGACCTTATACCCATCATATTGTATTGTGTGAAGTGTAATGAAGATAGAGAACTATTAGTAGGTAATATTGTGTTTGGTGTTGCGTTTTGGGATCAGAGACGTTAGATAGGTCGCACATATGTAAATCTTAGCAATGAAAAGTACCTAGGTAGTTGATATCCTGCAGTCAATATCGCATCTCAGAGTGCTATTTTTCTTTCCATTATAACGTCTGGCTCAACCACGGTACGGTAAGTCATCCTTCAAAAAGATTAATGCAATGGTAGAATCGAAGTACAGCACGAGGAAGATAATGACGGAAGATAGTGGTGGAATCATAAAATGACTTTGTGTTCCTCTTATCTTCACTTACTCTTGCATAATGAATGCTTGAACGACAGAGGCGTTAGCTTGGATGTACACAGAAAGTCTTGAGATCTTCCATGGAAACTTGAAAAAGCGGAGGAATGAAACCCTCCAAGACATCTGCAAGAATGCAAGTATTTTAAAACTCAAAGCGCACCATGATGCAATGTCGAACGAATCGATACAGTGATGTCGCACATAATCATTGAGAAGAATATAAGCTCCAGCTACTCTCTCCCTTCGCTGGCTTAACAGTCAGACGACGAACAAACTACTTCCCTCTCGTCACAACTTCAGGATTCTTCGGACGGCTGAAGGCACATTCAAACCGGTGAAGTGACAGAACTTCAGACATTTAAGAAGCCGACATGAAAGCTATTAATGAAGTTGCTACAAGTGCAATGGTAATAGACAGTGTTTCGAAGCCGGCGTCTTAAAATATCAAAATGGCCTCTATGAGATTCAACATGTCTAAAACTTCACTGTTGTGTCTTTCGAACCTTTCCTGCCAGGGCATGGGCGTATTGTTCGAGATAAACCACCAAAGAAAAGGGAGAAGCATTTGCTGCCATGAAACTGCATGGCGTCTCAGGGGGCTTGAGACCCCGCCAACGGATAAACTTCTATTGGAATTGCGACGTCTACGCACGTTCAAATCTCCGCATCATTGAAGAAGTTCATCACCTAGTATTTTCCTCTACTTATCTTTCCGGTCGTCATCTTCTGTACGGATTCATCGTTCATTGGGGCTTCGACAGGGCTTACCGTTGAAGCTGGATCCTTCATCCAATACTCTTACACCATTAGATGATAGTTAGATGTATAGATGATGGATCGATTGGAAGCAGCCGCGTTCCGCATTTCGCGATGTAGCACACCATGGCTGGTTGAGTACCTTTTCGCCTCCTCGATTCAATTCCAAGGCAGGCTGAACAACGCTGTCGCCCCAATTTTGAATCTATATATAGTGTATTAGAAGATTGGCAATTGTAACCGTATGTCCTGTGACAGGAAACTAGGTCGCTGTGACTTTGAGACTGGTCAAAATACGTTTAAAAACGCATGTTGAATATTCAAGAAAGGAGTAGCTGGTAACAGGTGGGCGTGATTGAACCTTGTAATCCTTGACCTCGCATTCAGGCAGCAGTTTAAGCATTTAATCTAGGCCTTGCACAGCAAGCTTCATAACATCTTCACCAATGATATCCCCGTTACCGGAACGCCCCAGCTCGAACGTCGAGGTTTTTATAATCCGTAACGAGTGATCGTTGAGTGAATTTAGACATCACAATGTGCCGGTGTAAGATCGGATGGTGTTCTTGGATGTTTGTTGTAAATTGAAGCATTTTAAGGTTAGCTCTTCATTATGGAGTAGAATCCTTGTACTGCTACACTCAAAACTTATCCATGACTATAAGATTTGTTAATATGTGTCTCTCGGCTTGTCATGTAAGATCGGACCGAGGAGATCAAAGGTAAGGTGACGGAAAGGGAAATTGGGGCAAGATAAGAGATACTGGAAAGGAAACAAATGAGCCTCGAGAAGCCACAAGATTTCCCTTTCTGTCGCGGAACAATGCAAAGACCTTCTGAGAAGGTATCGAGGAAATAAGGATGTTGGTGATCTCCAGGGGTTCCGTGTATGTCTTATACTGAATTTAGCATCGTAAAATTCCTTTATGGATTTTGGCATGCGGGAGGAAGCCGCAACCGTGAAAAGATCGACGATTAGGCAATTTTTCTAGAATCCATTCACACCTGGCCATCGTTGCAGACTCACAGTCTCATGGTAGTCAAGGATACCAGGGAAGTAACAAGACAGGGACAAAGAGGAGACAGGCCATGTCCATTAGTCTACAATAATATAAGAAATTCGAAGGAAGGTTCATCTTGACCTTCTGCAAATAGGCATGATCTCCCACGCCTCTTGTTTCAAAGCGAGCTGAAATCCAATGAAAGCAGAACCCACTGCAGACCAACTGCAGATTTTGTACGCCTCCTTTTGGGCATGGGAAATGTGTTGAATTGTATTAGTTCAATATACAAGATCACTTTCTGGGAGGCTGAAATAAAATTGATTTTATTTCTTGGGGTCCTTGTTCTCCGTTTTTTTTCAGGCTTGCTCTCCTTGACCATGTGGTCGGAGATTTTCTCGGTCGTTGTAACCATTTAGATACTCAGAAAGACGAAAATACTGGGAATTTGTCGCTTGAAACTTCTCGATGGCGCCCTAGCGTGAGAACATGAGTGTTACCACCAAAAGCCGAAGATTATTTGATGTCTAAGTAGATTAAAATGATGGATATTACGGAGTACAATAGTGTGTCATCATCGTGGCTTCGGAGGCCTAAGCCTGTAACATGCATGCCATGTGGGAAAACTAGAAGCGGTCTCAGGTAGGTAGCATCGGCTATTTAGACCTTTTGTCCTCGTAATGGTCGCTCACTATCCACTAACACCAAGATATCGTTCGTTATCAAATATATCGATTACATACATTCAACAGCAGGTTGGTAATCGTGTATGCCGATATGATCTCGTACAGACTGTACAGTACAGTCAGTGTGATATGATTGTGTATGTTGTATGATTATTGATGTTGCATTGGAATTCTTCGTTTGCCTCGTTTGAAGCTTTTCACAGAGTATTGCTGACGGCGAAGAAATTCTCCCCACATATGGTGGTCATGACGCACGAGTAAGAAAGCTGCAAGCTGCATCTTTTCTCCCACTTTTCATCTCAGTTCGACTAGAACCCACACAAATCAGTCAAAAGCCCACCAATCCACCAAAACCCCACGAATAGGCGACGATCCGGCCATCGCTTTCATTTTATATTGAAAAATAAATCATTGATTCTTGCTGAATATTACTGAACTTGGTAATTTTGGTCGGATGATATCAATTATTGCCATGACCTAGTATCTATTGAGCTGAGTGTATAGAAAGCCGAAGCTGTCCTTCCGATAATGGCGTTCTGTTGACTTTTTTGGTGCAGGTGGGTTTTTAGCGACAGAGTCCCAGATGGGCTCGGGAAAGGGAAAAATAACATCACAACGCTTTTCTTCATATGGGGTTCATCCTGTGTCTAAAAAATGTGATGGATTCAAGTACGATACTCAACGGTTTTGACTTCCCCTCCAAGACAAACCTCCCGTTCAGATTGTTCCTGAAGAAAGGTACCCACGAGCAAAACACGCTTTTCATGCTTCATGCAACCCCATAGAATGGTTCAATGGCCGAGGTGTGTGGTGTGGTGGTTGCCGTGGCTGTCTGCATGTGCCTGTACAACGCAATACTCGAACAACGCTATAAATAAATCCGTTAATGTTTTATGTGTACATACGACATATTGTAATATCATGCATGCATTGATTTGATTGAGCAGGTCTTCGAATCATCGGCGATCAGATGCGAAATATTGTAGCAATATTGAATTCCGGAATTAATGAAATGAGCATAGATTTTACATACAAGTGTAATTGTTCACAGCCCATCCCATCAAGAGTTTCGAGGTAGTGTAGGAAAAATACGAAGCATACGAGTAGAGTAATACCCGTAAATTTTCAAAATGGGTGATAGTTTCCGGGTGTGAGAATCCGAGAGCTTGGATGAGGGATCGGACTACAGTATGATGGAAAATAGCTTAGAAGGATCTTCAGTATTGTGCTCGCTTGTGACGCATGTATCAATATTACGAAGTAGATTGGAGGCTTCATACAGGCTTCAGAGTGGTTTAACACTTAAAAGCCATTTCTTGAAAAATTCTAAATCATAATGATTAGGTGTGTTCCATTTTACCAGATAATAAATTGTGTATTGTGTGCATCACTGAAGTGCAACATGGCTATACCGAATGTAGGCTGAATGATGTACAGTACAGGTGTATTGCATGAAATTTAAACCAAGAAAAAGGAAATCTCCACGTGTAGAGGTGTGCATTTACTAGAACATCACGGCTGTGCTACCACACCGGGCACATCCATATCACTACCATAGAATCACGACCCAACTTCATACCATGAACCCTGAGAAAATGAAGTCAAATGAACCCAGCAAATTAGAAGATCATGATTGCTTAGATTGATCGACAGCAACAAATGGTCAAGGCTTCGGCCACTATGGAGACTTTGAAGATCCTATTGAAATGTCTGGTGAGGTTAGGGGTGTTTATGATCCATGCAACACTTTTACTCCGTAATCTCCAAAAGAGCCCAGCCGCTGACACGCTCGGAGACTAGAACCGGGGCTGTTTCCCTCATAGCATTTCATTGAAACTTAGAAGGGATACACAAAGTCAGCTAAAATTGACAATGTGGACAAGATGAAATCTCTGAAATGGAAGATGGCGGTGGAGAGGCCAAGAGCCATTTACCCTTTACCCATTTCATGCTTTTCGTAATACCCGATCTGAAGTAACTGAGTTGGGGTTTCTGATTTGGGAACTCGTTTTGATAGTATGCTGGTATCGGATCTAGGAGAAAGTTAAAGTGTTGGTATGCATAAATGTAAGAAAAAATACAGGAAAATACATCGTATTCTCAAAGAACACAAATAGTTCCGAATGATACCTAGGTATTACTTCATTTGGACCTTGGTACTACCAAAAGTTTCAAGGGTCAAGGGGCTTGTATTGAGAGGGTGGGTTGAATGTGTGCCATTGTGTGGAGAGGTAAATCCACGATAGTGTGGAACTAGATGTGCATCCATCTCAAAGACTTGAACTATTCTTCGGATCTGGATTTCATTAAATTGTTTTTACAAGGAGCGTCGATGCATTCTGCAAATCATCGTCACTCGGCGTTGTAGGAAGATCAATGAAGGAAGAGTGCAACCATAGGAAGCGTATCAACCGCTGTCAACTTTTCTTTAAATATGTACGGAATATATTCATCGCTTGAAGAAAACAGCAGGTAATCTTCACTCGAGCAGTAGGTAGTCAGGAGCCAGGGCGTATATGGTCTTAGTTTTACAACTTAGGCTCGTCACGCTCCTTACAAGCAATTCAAATTTATTGGTGTGGCTGCATACTAACGTTTGATAATGAAATACTGTACTATCGAACAAAATAGCTATGAAGCTCGCCGATTCGCGCGAGTCGTCAGCACCAAATCTGGACTATCGGTCGCACTTGACAGGTTTGTCAGGGTGTTAAGCGGCGGTACCCGCCAACTGTTAGCTCATAACAGCTTTCAAGACCAGTCCCTAGGTGAATTGACTTATAGAATGATGAGTTTTGTAGTTTCTGTAGTTAGTGGACCAGGAAAAAGCAGGAAAATACCTTGTTCAATGAATATGCGAGAAACCTTTGATATGCACAACAAACTCTATTGATGAGCTTTCCAAATTCCAATTCACCCCCGACGAACGAAAGAAAGCCCACTTTCCATATTATATCAATATAGCCAATCCACGCATGGTAGATCCCAAGAATAATTACCGAATAAATGGGTCATTATTCTTTGTTTGCTAAAAGCTCTCGCAATCGCTTCCGAATCTTGTTGCATTCCCCAAAATGATCCAAATCTCACCGGGATTGGTCCCATCATGGTGTACTTCCACTCTAGAGCCTTCCTTTATCGAGCCACAATGAGCTTTGTCTCTCTTGAGATTTGAGACTATTAGTCCTAGTATGATAATGTCCTATGAGTGTGCAATATGGTTTAGCGGACCAAGATAACCACCGACGTTCAGTAGAATGTGGACTAGGTAGGACATCAGAATAGAAACGATGGCGCCAGAAGAACAAGGGTACCAGGATACCAGGTACATAGTAAGGCATGCTAGGGCTGTAGATGGAGCTGGAGCTGACAGGCATTCATTTTGATCCGGGTTGCCAATGCCCAGGGGGTGGAGCTGCTGGTTGGTGTCGTCGCATGCCTCCAGAAAGATTTGTTGATCCCTTTGTATAGATTATACTTCCTGAAGAAAGCTTTACCATCTTCCTTGCCACACATCTTAAATCGTCCTCCAAAGAACCAACGTCAACCAAAAATTGTTTAGACTTGTCATACTTCTTTCCATCTTTTCTCTCTCATTTCTTAACGATCATTTTCTTGGCCACAAACTCGCTGTTGAAGAATTGTAATCATCGTTTATAACTTCCGATATCTCAACGTCCAACCCTAAAAAATAGGATTCCTAGACTGTCTTCTTGTGGCGTGAATTCCTCTTCTCTCATTCGTCGTCAGGGCTATTCAACTCCCACGGGCTGCTTATCCCCCAAGAAGCATTGTTTCTCTCCGCTTGGAATTACCTGGCACAAGTAGTCAGTTCTTTCTACCACACCTCAAGCCACAGATTCCCTTCGATTCACCTATCCTCCTGCATATTACATACTTGAAGATCAATAATAATGGGCTCGTGAAGTTCCTGAAATCGATGCGCAACTGGAATTAATGCGTTTTCTTGCCGCTCGACTGTCCCCAGACCAAATTTCGACGCCAATAAAAAGTGCCGCAGCCTGCTTAATTCGACCTCATCAAACACAATTCCGTTGTCAGCTCGCTCCTTCGGATTCAATCCACCTTTGGGGTATCTTTTAACTAAATCTGAAAAGCATCAAGTAGTGAATGTTTGTATAATTATTCCCTGATCTTCAGAAATAAAACTTTTCCTTCTTGGTACCAATTATCGTCGAAGTCGTGGAAAAGTTAAGTTTTGGCGACAAACATTTTTTTGAGGGAAGATATTCACTGGCACTCGACATTATACGCGAAAATAGCCTCAATTGATGGCAGTCTCTGTCCAAGGTCCATTCAGCTCCAAGTCCAGTCCCTGGAGTATGGCCGATTTACCACATCACAACTTCCCAAGAGGAAATCCAAATCAGATATCCCCAATGGCCTACCCATATCATACCATGAATCAAGGTCTCGACCAAAATATGATGCCCAGTTACGATCATCATATGGAACCAATTCGATCTCACTCACCTTTACATGGACAAGGGCCATCTCCATCTACCCGGGAACTTGAAGCTTCTTCCTTATCAAAAGCGACAAAAGAATCCAAAGCAAAACGATCAATGTCTACTCCAAATATCAGAACCTCTAACAATACTGATGCGGCTGCCTTGGCCTTGGTTAATGATAAGAGAAGAAACAAATTAGGTTATCATAGAACGTCGGTAGCTTGTGGTAAGATTTGTTCTCGTCCATCGAAGACAGATGCGATCTATCTTTCAAGACGAAGTGGAAGATTAATGAATATGCTAACTTATCATCATAGGTCACTGTCGTCGACGCAAGATTAGATGTATACCAGCTCCAGCAGATCCTCAGAATCGATGCTCAAATTGCATTAGATTAAAAAAGGAATGCAATTTCTATCCAGTCGACCAGCAACCTCAGCCAGAACCTAAGCGTCGAGGCTCCAAAGCCCCAAGTGGAACTGGAGGAACCTCTCAATCATCTTCACCGTCAATTCCATCTAGCCAGATACCCGACATGCAGCCTAATCTTCCTTACCATCTAAGCATGCCATCAATCCAGAACCTAGGAGGATCTCAGGTCAAAAAAGAAAGGAACGAAAGCTTTTCTCCCGATAACAAGGGTATGTAATTTGACTTCCATGTATTTTCATGCTAACGGTTCTCCAGTCGTAACTTCATCGCGTAATTTTGACTATAACGGTGGTCAAACAGCTTGGATGGCACCAGAAGTCTCTCCAGGTACCAAACCTCCAGCAGACATGTCTGGAAATTACTGGCCTGCCTCCCAAGAATCTCCAATGACTCCAGGGTTCTCACCTTACACCACCCCTAACATGCACCTGGCCAATGCGCAAAACTGGCAAAGCAGAGGCCACCATGGTCAACCAGAAACAAATCCAAGAGAGCCGGAATGGCCAGCACCACAGCGATCTGTTTCGTATAGCAACTTGGAAGGAATGCAGAACAGCCATCAGCATTCCGCTTATGGACTTCCTAACCCGTCGGATTCATACGCTGCTGCGAGAACCCGTGCTTCTAACGGTGCAATATATCCGCCAAACATCACAACTACACATCCACATTCCGCCGCCGAAATCTCATCCGCGTCAACAATTGGAACAGCCTACACACATTCTGCAACTCCAATGTCGGCGGGACCTTACACAGGCTGGAATCAACCGTATACTGGCGGTTATGCGAAAGTCTCACCTGGAGTTGATACATATGCTTCTTGGAATGGTGCTCAAGGAGGACAGCGCATTGTAGAAGAAGAAGAAAGTGTGGGAGGATATAGCGGATATAGCAGTTCTGGAGGCGGGGTCTATTATGCTGGCCAGCCACATGCAGCAGGCCGTTAGCGGAACAAGGAATACATTTCAATCGAACAACAGCACATTGCGGATCACGGTTACGTTTCTGGATTATTGGCGCATGGAATTGGTTATTCTTCCGGCATATATTGACTGTTCGATACAACAGATTTTGCGATTGGGGTAAAATCTGGGCGGGGAAAAGCGAAAGCGATAAGGGCTTTTCGCCAGGCGCGATTATAAATGTAACCTCGCTCAAAGTCCTGAATAAACAAGACGGAAAGCGCCTTTTTGTATATACTGGACACAGAAAGTTTGGGAATTTCTTTACTCGGAACATTGGGGTCATCATCATGCGAAACGATATTAAATGGACTGGTTTGGCGACTGGTTTTTACTATAATTCTTTTTAGGAGGAAAAAGAGACAGCGATTTTTTTCTTTATCATTTGGTTTTTTGATATCTTAAAGTGGGATGCATCTAAGTAGGTAATCTCATGACGGCGGGAGATTTTCCATGGACACCTTATTAGACAAATGAACAGAAAGCACGAGGTATTATCAGAAAAGGCAGGGATTAAGTAGATTGCTTCATTTCTGGGCATTTTGTATGAATGTAGCGATACATGGACAGCATTTAGTCTCTCGCTCACTGGCTTTGTCCATTGGAAAAGACAAGGAGATTCAAAAATTGAGTGCCAGATTTGCACCTATATGTGAAGTTATTGAAATCAAATACCTGAGTATGTTGAAGTCACGAATCTAAATTGGTGGCGAGCAGGTGAGGCGGTTTGTGCCTCAGGCATAAACCGCCTCAGGCACTCGGCTGGGACAATGAGTAATGTCGTGCTCTAAACTCATCATCATTCGCTGTGAACTTCTCCAAAAAACATATCATTTAATGTAATACGGACAAAGCCTTCAACCAAGCCCCTGTGCCCCGTATGATTACCTACTTCGTATAATACCTAGGTACTTACGGTATGTCTACTCACGGATTGAGCCGATTCGTCGGTATGTTCGAGGTATTTCTCCAGTCTCATCTACCTCTACCGGTGCTAGAGTATTTCTCTACTGTGTACAACTTCCATTATCACCATGAATACCTTGCTGAATGTTCTGGAGCCACATCCGGAAGATAGATTACATTTACGCTTACATAGAGCGAGATCCGTTATTTTAACGGCGCAAGAGTTTGTCACCTCTTACTTCTCCTTCTGGCCCTGAAACGAGCAACAAGTAGTGCGGGATTCTGTATACACTAGCTGACATGTTTTTGAAAATGATACAGACTTGTGGAAATTCGAGCCGCACAAAGAACCTTCGAGGGAGCATATATTAGGACTGCTTTGGGGCAATTTAGTTTCGCTTTGGTAGTATTAAAGATCTTTACTGCCGAATTCTACAGTATTGGGGCCTTATTCGCGACATATGGAGCCGGCATCCTAATGGTCAGCTTGTACAGGAGATACGAGGGCAACAGGCAATTCTTCAGCGAGATAGATGGGGATGGCATGGGAAGGAAGAAATTTAGGACCAGTGGGAATGCCGTGGTTGTTTTGACGACGCTGAGTCTTGTGGCTTATGTTTTACTGATTGGGTTGACCATAAGGCTCGAGACCTGAAATCCATGATTGAGCTGACTACATGTGCGGCATAATCAATGGAACATATAGTTCACGCGGCACAGGGGCCATTTTGAGGTCTAGAGACGAGGTGATCGATATTATGGCTCGGATCGGTTGATACAGGCAAAGTCAAGGGAAGCAAAAGGGCCATCGAAATTCGGCATTGATTGGAACCATTTTTCAGAAACAAAATCTGACGCGGCATACCTTTTCAATCCAATTCTATATGAGGATCGCGACAGTTACTTTTTCAAAACTTTGAGAAGTTGATCATCTATACTGCCTACCTAAGACTTTCCGTGATGGATGTATTGGAGGTAAACCCGCCGGATGTCTTATTGCGAATGCGATCAAACAGACAAACAAAATCTTTCACTTTTTGATCGTCATAATACCATGTACGGAAGCAAGCAAGCTTATCTAGCGGATTTTCGAGGATTTTCGATCTGATAAGCATCACCTCAAGTTAGCTTGCCTATATATGGTTCCCTCAGGCCCAGGGAACATATGTCGAGAATGGAATTCCTGGCGATCATAATTAGGGAATGATTCTGCAACATGTTACACGTAATCTCAATGCATGAAGCTGTTAACCGTGGTCTAAAGCCTTGGTTCCAGTCGGAACACGTCCATTGTTGACTACTAGTGGCGGGGATGCCAGTCACTAGACTTTCTCTTTGACCGCTGAAATAGGGATCTTTTGAGAAAAAACTCTCCAGGAACAAAACGCGTCAGCATCTAGCAGGTTTCCCTTTGAATTAGGAGGGGGTGAGGGGATAGCCATATCGTCCACACTTAATACCTGATTCGATCGACTGCAAGATTGTTGTTCCTGGATCATTTTAGTTTGGGGGGAAGCTAGGCTAGATAGCGCCAACACGAATTTGTACGATGCTGATATCCGACCGCACTAAACATGAAATTGGAGCTCGCATCCATGGTAGTGTCGGCTACGATTACATATCTCTTCTGAATCATCGTTAGACAATTATTTCTTTCTCGTCCCGCATCTCTTTTAGGGTGTTCTTTGGCCAGGTTGCGATCTTTGAACAGTTCTCTTTTCAAGACTCTTTTCGTACATTTCCCAATCACTTGGTTTTTATGAAAGCGGAGGACCGGAAATCTTAGTGAGACGCCAAAATTGGGACTTGAACTAATATTTGTTTCATCCTGATTGACACCTGCAGTCATGTACGAATTAAGGTAGATGGATGCCAGGGCTGTTTTGACGTAATCCCCGTGTTGGGTACTGCAACATGTCTCATAGTGTCATTTTCCGAGGTGACAAAATTGGGAGCCATCACAAATTTAGAACACCACAGTTGCTTCAAAAACACGAGGCTACTGTGCGCCGCTAACGCACGATAACTCCTATGAATTTTACACAGAGTTCGTTCAGATAACTTCAAAGACACTGAGACACATAAACATGAGTCATTCTATTCCTGTTGACGATTCACGACCATAAGTCGTGATGCCAGCATGGACTGGGCAAGTGAGGAATATTGACATTGTCTGAATGGTGCATGGAATGCCGGCTTCATGCAAGTTACAATGCATATCAATCGATTCGCGCTGGATTGGGGGTGCTCGGACTCTCCTGTCATGTCGCTGCAGTAGCAATCTCCAATGGCATGCATACCTACAGTGGTTGTCCATCCAGGAAAGATGCTTTACAGGCAGCTTAACATCAACAACAACATTATAAGATTCAATCAGATATATTACTCAACTTAGTACATCAGGAGTTCTTGTTCATAACAGCAATTTTCGGTTCGTTTGCCACATTTATGGGCAGTTTATTCGCATCTTCTGGGTCTAGCAAGATATATATCTAGTCAGTTCTAGCCATGATGGAACCCTATACCAAATAATTTAAGTTCATGGTCGTATCTCATATTTAACACGATTGGAACTGCGCATCGTGCTTCTATTCCATCTTCTCACTTAGTGATCGGTTGAAATACTTTCAACAGTCAATCTGCGGCCTTTGCAGGCCAAGTACCAGTGCCTTGCATGATTGTTACACAGCAGAAGTGACAATTGACCGTCAGGTCGACTTTCTCGCAGACTGCACCCTGCCTGCATGATTTCCTTCTCCCATAGTTGTCTACAATGCATATTAGCCATCCAGAATTCTTTCGATACAATCAGTCCCCGACTCATTCGCCGAAGGTGTATCATGCAGGCCAAGTGCCGGCAGGAGAAGTTCTTCATATAGCATCGACTTCGGCATTCGATTCATCAGTTTTAGACTATATCAAACGCTTCATACTTTCCTTTGAAGGACTACCCGTAGTGAAGGTTTCTCCTCGTGTTCAAAATTTGAATTTAAAGATTATTAAAATCACAAGAACACAGCAATAGAGAAGAAAATTTGTTTAAGCAAGATGAGTATGCCAAGATTCAGTCAGAGTAGAGTTGGTGTATAATTTTGAAACTAAATGTTTTACAGCGAAAGATACCACACCAGGTGCCTACAGCATTGACTCTCAGATGAACAGAGTCCCTTTCATAGACCGATGCCCTGTGATTCTATCCAAGGTTTGGAAGATGTCAGTCCTCTCAATATTCAAATGTTGTATAAGTGCGGAGATTCGACAACTATTTGGACTACGTACTGGAAGTCTTACGGCAGTACCTTGAATCCCCTGCAAAGGTCTTGCGGTAGGGTCTGATCATTCAATACTTAGGTATCTTGGGCATGCAGACTTCCACATAGACTGACCCGTGCTCCACAAGGCCCTTTCATAGAAACTACTTGAAGATAGGCCACTGATTATGGCTTGTCTGAAGGAGGTTGTAAGATTGGGGTGAGCATAGATCTTGGTTACTAATTGCAGAGACAGAGGAAATATTACCAGTCGGAGAGCACGCCAGGTCATCCGCACCGCCATTTACGGTGAAAATTGAGACCAGGTCACTCAAATATTTGGTACTTGTTATCAGTATATGAGGCGAATTGAACAAATGGGCATGGCCAGCACGGGTTTTGGTCAACACGGCGAGTCACCATACCTATCTCCATTGCCCCATTTTCTTTGGCATTGCTTCACTGGTAATGGATTCACAGAGACAGGCAAATTACAGTTCAACAAGGTCGGATAACTTGACAGGTTTGAAAGAAGTGCTCACATTGTAGCACTCTAGTTCCGACAATAATATCTCAAATTGCTTGGGACTCACGTATACACGTGATTGATATCGACACAAATTCAATGTTGCAACACAAAACCTCTGCAAGCTTGAGGCGCGTAACACCCAAAGTTTAATTCACTCTTGACTGTCACGACATATCCTTTTCTTTTTAAGTTCCGAGGGGTTCTCCGTATACAATATTAATTTATAAATCGGGGACCTTATGATATGGTCGCCGACCTCCCACGAGGGACCAGCAAACTTCAGCCAATCAACATCATTCAGCTGTGAATTGACGCTTGTCGCAAGCGCTTGCTCTGCAGCGGGGGGTTATTGAGCTCGACTATAGCAGCATCGGAGTGAGCTTTTTCTCCACTGATAAGCGCTTGTCCTTAAATCAACGAACAACGAACAAACACAGGAACAACGATACATTGGTACTTACTCAATGATACTGTGAGCCTCAATTCGTCTATCCCTTCCCACCTGTACACCCTTGTATCACGCTATCGATTACCAACCCAACAAGGCTGAAGATTTCATCATCATTAATCTGCCACTTGGCTCAACATCCATCACGATGTCGGCACTGCATGCAAGCTGAGATATTTCTGAAACGCCATCAATCACCGTCTAAGAATACACGGCTTAAAATATGTTCTTCATCGTTGTGGAACTTACGTTCGAAGAGGCGTACTGATCATCAATTAAGGTGCTTTTTAGTGTGTAATATTGACGTTTCGAAATCGTCACACGTCCAATCTATATCTCGATCCTTGAGATCAATAGTCTGCTCATGGTTCTATGGTCACCAAGAATTACTCAATGACTAGGGTAGTAAATTTTGAATCGATCACGACGTTCACTGAATATACTCAAGGTGCCATTGTTCGATATCACTATCACAACTGAGTTGGATTGTTACTTCTCTCAGCTGAGCAGATATCTTGCGCTCGGTTTGTTGAAACTATTCGCGCGATTGACAAATTGGAAAGGAAAAAATGGAATGTCGCCCGTTGAAAAGTCCAGATCTTCAGGTTGGAGTACGAGATCGCGGTCTGTCCAATATTGATTGAGCTGGTCCACACTACAGTTGGTACTCGCAGGAAACATGTCGATTCAACAAATGGCAGTGAGTGATGGGCGCCGCCTAGAAATTTTGTGGTAGCGGGTATATCCGCTAAGGAAACCACTTTGTGATAGGCACCATCCAGAGCTGGTGCACAGCCATTTCATGATCGGGCGACTTCCTTTTTTGGATATTCCATTGCTACCGGTTCTATTTTCACACGGCACGTCAGTGTTTTCTTCTCTTCTTGATCATGGGCTTGTTCCCTTTAAGTACAGTAAGCATTTAAAATTCTACCAGAGACAATCCCTGGCCGCTTACAGGTTGAAAACGATGGAATTAAACAGTAGGTTAGATGACTAATACTAGCCCTACAGGCTTGCTTCTGAAGCTTCAAGAGACGTTGAATCTACTTGGATCCAACATAGCCAACTTTCTCTATTTCCGGCAATCATCTTGAAAATTCACGGCTGTACCTCCAAGTTAGGATATCGCCAATAGCAGCTTACTTAGAGCTCTATCAGGTCACAGGCTACCATTAGCCTGAGCGCTTTTTCCTTTTAACCCGTCTTGCTCCGAGTGCTTTGAACTTGTACATATAGAAATGGGCAGTTGTCTTTGGTTGTTTCTTGTATCTGTCTCTATATAAAACCGAATTCTCAAAATTTCAACACTATGGCATACAACCGACAGGTTGAGGCCTTCAGAGAAGAAGAATACCCTATGATGAAAGGTGAGTTTACACAAAGATTCCGAGCTGATAGATTCCCCAATCGCTAAGTTACAACAGGGAAAACATATCTTGACCATGCGGGCACAAGTAAGACTTCAAATATCACTCCTATTATCCCTTTGATTTTAAGTTATGACTTCTGATATTCGGCCTTACTCGTTAGAGAGTCAGATCTATACTTCTGGTCCTGAATAATTATCTACATTACGGAGCGCTAATCATGACACATGTAGCTATATATGCGAAGTCTCTAATTGACAAATTTTCCAAAGAGATGGTGGAAAATCTCTTTGGAAACCCACACTCGGCATCAGCCCCGGCGCAACTTTCGGGGTATGTCGTCGACTCCGTGCGTGAAAAGGCCTTAAGATTTCTTGGAGCCGATCCTGCTCATTTTGACCTCGTCTTCACTGCGAATGCTACTGCAGCGATCAAATTGGTCGCAGAGAGTTTTAGAGATTTGGCTCTAGAGAGTTCGACGTCGGGATCATTTTGGTACGGCTATCATAAAGATGCTCACACGAGTCTCGTTGGTCCGCGAGAACATACCAATGGACAGCATCACTGCTTCACAAGCGACCAAGAAGTAGAAGACTGGTTACTTGGTCACAGATCTCTCTCGGGAAGAAGGGAAGATGATGAAACGCCAGGAATCCTTGCATTTCCGGGGCAATCAAATATGACCGGCCGTCGACTACCTCTCTCCTGGAGTAAGAAATTACGGAGGTCGACTCGCATTTCACACCAGAATACCTATTCTCTCTTAGATGCTGCAGGCCTTGCGACAACAACTCAGCTTGACTTCAGTGATCCCGACGCGTCTCCTGATTTTACCGTCCTTTCATTTTACAAGATATTTGGGTTTCCCGATCTAGGAGCTCTGATAGTTCGCAGGAAATCGGCACATATCTTGACTTGGCGTAAGTACTTCGGCGGCGGTACAGTATCGTCTCTGACCGTAATACATGAGGCATCTTACCACAGGAAAGACGCCACGATTCATGACGGATTAGAAGATGGTACATTACCATTTCATTCGATTGTTGCACTGGGGTGTGCCATTGATGTGCACCATGATCTTTATGGCTCAATGACCAATATATCCAAGCATACGATGTTCCTCACTCGGCGCCTTTACGAAGGCCTATCAAACATTCGCCACTCTAATGGTCGGCCTGTTTGCGAAATATACCATGACGCAACTAATATCCACCCTTACACAGACGCCGCCACCCAAGGTGCTACTGTAGCATTCAATATTCTACGGTCGGACGGTAGTTACGTGTCGTATTCAACAGTAGAACAATCAGCCAACCGGAAAGACATATACGTAAGAGCTGGTGGGCTTTGCAACCCTGGAGGCATCGCAAGTTATCTCAAGGTAGCACCTTGGCACTTCAAGCGAGCTTGGTCAGCCGGTCATCGCTGTAGCGAATCTGACAACACGGAGATAATCAATGGAAAGCCTACGGGCGTGGTACGGGCCAGTCTGGGAGCCATGTCGATCCTTTCCGATGTCGATACATTCCTTGCATTTATGCTGGAAACATTTGTTGAAGACATAGGGCAAACTGTTATCATTACGGCGCAGCCGCGGAAAAAATTGCCAATAGTCAGAAGTCAGGGGCTGTCGGTCCAGTTGTCGTGAAAGTACCCGGAAGTTGGCCTATTAGAGAGCTTTTTCCCATCAACACGGGATTGAAACAGAACTCGAGGGAACAGCCGCTAAGACGGTATGAGGTGTACGATTATGAGATTGATAGAGGGAGACCACGGACAAGCCATTCGACAACTTACCATTCCCCGGCTCATCATCTTTCAACCGGATCAAATGATAGTGCGATAGTGATGTCGGCAACAGAAGTTAAATATTGGGATGATACTAATAAAGGAGGGGACCACGGAACTTGGCCCGAAAAATGGGAAAGAAGATGTTCGAATGAAAACGAAAAGGCGAAATCAAAATCGGAGTCATGGCCGACGGAAGAAAAGGGGAAAAAACCGGAAAAGACGTTATCGAAAGCCAAGAGTTTTTGGGGCTTGAATAAAGTCGTCAAGGGCAGGACCAAGGGGTGACCACCCTGTTCGTTCTTAGTTGTATTGCATTTCAGGGTTGGTTCCGACTGCTTGGAACGGTCATTTTTAAAAATTGGTGGGGTCAGGGGTGTGGTGATTGAGGAGGCGCTGGGGAAGATAGTTATTGGTGAGATGATACGTAGATACATCATCATGTATATGGTCGTGCCATGGTGATTTGTTATACATTAGATTGCTGTTGTGTGTTGTTTGCCGCGCGCGAAGATTGCATATGCACGATACTGCTCCTTGGGTTTAGCAGATATATAGTCAATATGGGGTTTTCACAAACAAGCGCTCCCAGATTTCAATATCTAATATCTTCGTCTGATCTTTGGAGAGCTTATGTGCGTATGTGTAACTGGATCTTATCGTACGCGTGCAGGTTATTTGGGGAAAAGTAAGCCAATCATTATTCTTACATGCATATCAGTATGCATGTCAAGAAGTATCTTTACACATAACATAATATATAGTTCGCTACATCCTACAGTATCCTGCACATTGTTCTAGATTCAGATTGCAGGGTATTAGATCTAGTTTCAGTTTTCGCATTTCTGCTTCTCACAGCCTTTTTTCTCGGTGAGTAGATAACTTTCAATCATACGAATTTAGTGTGATGTAATAGAACTACTTGTTAGTTTGTCTGAACTCGATACAGTCAGGACTTACGGAAGAACCTTAAGCTTACCGTGATAAGTGCATGTATTGTACGTAAACTTATGATTCCACGTGGAGTTTATTCCTCATAATTAGCATTTGTTTCATTTGTTTCATATGATAAGCACATTCTGATCCAATCTACCAGGATCGGATTTGTTTTCTTCCTTTCTCCGAATCTTACTTTGAGTTCTGACGTTTTTTCTGCGAGGCAATCACAAGACTAAATGTTGGATGCCGAATGTGATATATCAGACCAGATCACACATATCATGTATTAACATTTTTTTTCGCCCTCGCCATCCCGTCAATATCCATAGCCAATGTATCTACACGACGAACCCGAGCCATACGACATTAATGCCCGAGAACTTCACTCATCCAGCTGTCCATTCATCTACTCCCCTATATCGGCCAAACAATTGCCTATCCAATCAAAGTCCACGTAGCTAATGCTTCGCCACTAGAAATCAACCGTCGCACCCCCAGGAAAAATTTGCTCACAAATCACAAACCGTCTATCTACGCCCCCAAGCCTCAAGATTGCCGTCCTGCACACGGGCTGGGTTAAGACAACGGTTCATGTGCTTTTAGCCTATCTTTCCTTTCTAGGCTTTGTCTGAAATGTAGACATACGGATTTGGATGTAAGATAAGCATCAGCTATACAGGCTTCGGGTTGAGATTTGAAGAAATGGGATAGGGCTATTTGATTGGCATATATGACCACCACCAAGCACACACTTCCCGTGGAGGAAAATTCGTATGGCTTGGGGGACTTGGATAATCATGTTATCGTGGAGTTGTGATATGTGCATTGTGGATGTACGGTGTGATTTGTGAATTGGTTGGGATCGGGGTAAGCTTATGGTGGTATCAATATATATTCAGGTGGTAATATTCATGAAGATCCATGTCTCTTGGCCGGTATATCGAGAGTTGGAACCGCTACCCAATCGCTCGGGCCTGGTGATACCAGATTGGGAAATTTACACATGGCGAGCAACACATGATGTGAGAAATGCTGAGGTGAAGAGTCGAGATGCATAAAGAATGGTGTTTCAATACTTGCATGGGGTAATAGGGTGAGATTTGGGAGTTTTTCCGCAGAAGAACGTTCTGGAGGGTTGGCGAATCTTTTGTCGTAAGGTTGGGAAATAGCCAAGATGGCTAAAACTTGTTGATGATGCAGGAGGGAGAGTTAGACTCGGGAGATGTGCGAAGAGGTGGGCTCGGGAGATGCAAGTCGGGAGATGGATTGGGGTTTACCCCGCATTCTGTCACATTATCATCACATGGCTATCACATTTTTGTTATGCAATAAATCTTGTATGCAGGGTGAGAATGATCATCACTGGGAACTGTCTATGTATGATGTTCACCGCATGATAAAATTACGAATGTCTGGCACTGCATAGAGTCTCCATGTGGGTGCAAGAGGTAGCATACCCAACCACCCAAGTTTCCACATGAAAGCCATACATTCGAAAAGCTGATATCTCGATGTCAGATCACAAGGTGAATATCGAATGAGATGTATGAAAATTTACATTTGTAATGAACCAAGGAGTTATCATCACAGTCAGATGTTTTGTCTTGATATCGAGTATCGAATATCGAAGGGAGTACCTCAATACAGTCATCAAATCTTTAGATCTGAAATTGTGAAAATCATGTATTTACTCATTGATTATTGTGCAAATGTAGACCTAGGTTTTAGCTAGCTAACTATTGCATGACAATCCACTTGATGAACCAGTCACCATGAAATGTAATGAACCACGCTGATTTGATACCTACGCCGAGAACCATGTGTAGAAGTGCAATGCCACAGCAAGAATGAGTCCCTCAGAGTGAGACCCATGAGCAAATGTTGAAAATATCCTCTGATCTGTCCATCCATAATACGCCCAGCAAAATCCCACAGAGATCCTCCCAACCCCAGTGCTTCAAGCCCTATCAAACAATCATAATAGCGCAAAAAGCCATAGCGATTACAGCAAATGCTGGAATACTCAAGCCTGTACCAGCGCTGCATTCTGGGTTTTGGTAAGGTGAAGAACCGCAGTCATTTTGTCGTGCTGCTAGGAGCTCAGCTTCAGCGTGGTTACTGAGTTCAACAAGGTTGATGGGAGAATCTTGTCGCTTCTCAGAAAGTTGGATAAGATTGATGGGAGCATCTTGGGCGTTGCGAGAGCGGATGGACCTATACTTGGTGGTTTCGCGATCACTCAGTTCAACAAGGTTGATTGGGGAGTGTTGACGCTTCTCGGTGAGTTGAACAAGGTTGATTGGTCTGTCGCGCTTTGGAAGTTGAATCAAATCAATGGGACCATCGCGCTTGTCACTAAAAAATCAAGGGAGTTAACAATTGCTCATCTTGGTACCCCCTCAGAGAAGTCAGAGGAATGTAGCCTGTATTGTCAAGAATAGAGAATGCGACCTATCATGTATGGACTTTTGAAGCACGAAAGCGGCACTGGAGATTGTAGAATGAAACTCATTGTAGGTACTTACGGAAGTTGAATAAGATCGATAGGACCATCACGCTTCTCGGGAAGCTGAACCAAGTCAACAGGACCATCACGCTTGTTTCTGAGCTCAACAAGATTAAGTGGAACATCTTGGGCAGCACGAGCATACTCAACCGCCGCACCCATTGGAGTAGTAACCGGAGTTGGTGCAGCAAAGCTTAGAGTAGCGAAAGTGAGGAGGGAGAGCTTCATGATGCTCGAGATATGCATTTTGATGGTAGAGTCTTTGAGGCTTGATTATGCAATATGATGTTAAGGTGTTTGTAGAGCACGCACTATTGTTGAATTTGGATTGAGGTGAACGAGTTGTTGTTGGCTTCTTGTTGTTCTAAGACGGGAGTTGGAAGTAGAGAGCTTTGGAAAAGGGTTGTATGAAAGGTGAGAAGCTAATTATGGTCTGAAAATTGGAAGGATAGTTGTTGATATTGAGCCAGTTGGGGAGGAACGTGTACAGAGGGTGGCCAACAAGGTAGATCCTGAGGATAGGACCAACAGTGGCAGTGAGTATTGTACGATACGTCAAAGTGAATAGGGAATACGGTCCCGAAGAATTGCTTTCAACATCAGCTCACCGTCAGTGTAAGAAGGAACCAAGATATAACGTTATAGCATGCCATTGGTCGATTTTATATCATTGTCTCACCTGTTTATATTCACATTAAGCTTATCTCCTGATGGAAATCCCAGTCTTCAACCCGCATTTGTAATCAGATTCACAGAAGTCCATCGAGACAACAACTAGCAATGCATTCACTCGAATGCGGTCCAATGATTCACAAGTAGGCAAGCGATGGATCGTGACTCCTTCCTGGTGGTGAACAGGTTTTGGAAATTTCGCTCTGCAATTGTCACATTGAGATCTTGCAGTATTTTTGTATCATCTGGAAGGAACTGACAATAATTAAGAGTATCTTGAGTAGAAGATCTCAGTAGCGAACTGCTAGCAGATGATGGTAGGTTGTCCTCACTGGTGCACCTTTGGCGCTCAGCCTGCTGTGTTTTTAAATTTTTCGCTATGTATGATATGAGGATAGAGTGTATGAAATAAGCTTCGTCAGGGGAAAGACTTGTTGTATGAGATGCATGACAAGAATCAAGCGCGCAACTAAGGCTCTTGGGAGAATATAAATGGCAGAGATTAGCAGTAGTGGCCAGGTTATGGCCAGAGTGAGTCTTGCAAAAATCACATTGAAGGTAGGAACATCAAAAGAGCGTAATGAGGGCATGAGATCGCTCGTAAAAGTATCAAAGGATATCTCTCATTCACAACCTAGGCGTCTCGGGAAGATGCGGAAATTTTTGAAACTGATGCCCTCTGCTTTATTCGCCAGATATCAATCTATTCGACCAAGCTAAAGAAATGCAGAAAGTTTGCTGGGACAGGCGCGTTAATCAGGTTGACAACATCTCGTCGTGCCCCGAGTCTTGTGTGGCAAGTTCATAGAATCAATAAACCAGTATTATCATTCCATCTCATTTCGCACTTTCCTACAATACAATTTCCATCGATCAGATGGTCTCAAAATGAAATGAACACCATACGCCGCCGAATCGACCCCAAAATTCTATGCCTAACTCATATATACCAGTGCTAATGGCCAATCGTTTGTTAAGAAAGAGTAATAGCACCTCTTCGATTGTCGCGGAAATGTAGGTAAGCTTGGAAACCGCAACCGACGATGAAAACCTATTGATGGACACACACATACATTAGCTACGGAATTGCGGATGAATGGGAAGAATTTATAACTGTCTGAACAGGAATCATTGAGAGCTTCAATAAAACATACCGCATAGACAACAACAGCAGAAAAGACCGTAGCGGCGACCGCAGCCCCGTCTTCGGGGTCCTCCTTTCCGCCCAGGAGTGCGTGATTGTTGCTCTTGAAGAGAGAGCCGATGATAGAGAGAATGATGACGGCAAATACTGAGATGACGATGCTACAGCACTAGTTAGAAATTGATGGAAAACAAAGGCTAGGCAGTAATCAATGAGGGCACGAACCAAGACCAAGCTTGCATTACTCCTACGACGGGCTTCATCTTGGTGGTGTTGAAGCTTTTGTTATGAGCGAATAGATGCGAATAGAGAGAGGTGAACTCTGTGAGGTTCGTGATAAGGGTGCGAGAGTCTGAAGTTGGTAGTTGGTGGTTGGTTGATGGACCTGAATTGAAAGTGTCGTCGAAAGTCGGCAAGTCGGAGCTTAGGAGCAAGTCTTGGCATTTACTTCCTCGCGAAGATTCAGACTTCAGTATTCTTTTCCCGCAAGACTAACTATATCAAATTGATCAGAAGTCTATTCCCACTCTATGAATCCAATGATGTAATAACAATTCCAGGGTTTCACCTTTCTTGTTCTTTATATTCCACATTATCGACAATGAGCTTTTGATGATGGTCATTTGTCATCCATCACGAGGGTATCCAAACACGGTCCTAAATTCTGGTTGCAGAGCCAAATTTCGAGACATTTCCAATGGTCCTTTTCTCGTGATATGTTTTGTAAGGAAATTCTACGTCTGTCTTATCATGATGATTCGATCATTCCATATTGTATCTCTGTTCCTTGGTCCTTTCTACTTTCACTTCGGTTAGCACAAAGGCTTCATTTTACTGCTCAAGTATCAGATGGTCAAAGATACTACTTTATTTTACACAGGAATGCTACAGGCATGCAAATCTACTAATTGATTCCGATTGGCCTTGAGAAATCTTTGAGACACCATACCACGATGGAACCTCAGGTCGGACTGTGAGGACAATACTATCTAAACAGGAGTAAACCACGCAGCCACAGCTTGAACTCAGGCATACAGTCGTCACCTATACATCAGACATCTAGTTTATAGATCGCTGGTCTATGTTACTTTATTCGAAACTGATGAGACGAAGTCCCATCGCATCGTGTTGTGAAAAGAATATGCCAACATGTTATGCTCTCGACAACGATTCAGTTAGCCCCTTTCTCATTTCCAGTAAAGCGGTCGATGCTGTGAACGTCACCAATTGTTGTTTATATATTTAGACAATATCGCCCAATGCCTACCTGTGCATAAATGGTCTGATCTGTTTGGATAAACAACATCTGCAGATCTTGGCCAAGCTTCTGTCAAAAAGCTCGAAATGACGGACACTGACTTTTCAAAAGCTTGACTCACAAGCCATTGCTGGAACAGACGGATGCCAAGAACCCGTGGTATATCGCTCGTATCTCGCACTTCGCTCAGATAGAGGGTTTGTTTATGAAACGCCGCCTCTGTGCTGGTGTATCGAAAAGCTAATGGTGGGTGGACTCGGCAGCAGTCTACCCGGTATCTTTAGAGCCTTCCACAGGCTGAATTTTGGTGAATCCTGATTGCTTGATGAGAACATGCGATAAAGTCCAGCACCCATTCGTCCTCGGAATTGACGACGGCGTTAACGACATGCGGTCGTTTACTATCAATATACTCACTACTGCGCCTCTTCATCTGGCATGTTTACTGATGGTGATACTATCACGGACCACAGACAGCCAACGAATATCATAACTATGGAATTTGTGAAACGAAACATTGAGATGAAGATAATAAAATGCTTGAAAAAATTGAAGAGTAGCGCGCGGTACTTTCAAACACAAGGTATTCCAATTCACTTTTCATATCATTAGGATCAACCATCATTCTCTTCTGGCTTAGAAACCAGCATCCAGAAATCCTGCCAACCATCAAAGCGTTCCCTTAATCCTCGTGTTCCCGAAAAAGATTCCCGAATGATTGGCGCAAGGTTTTAAACGCTCGGATTTCAGGGGTTTCATCAACCAAACGAAAAGCTTAACCAATTAACCTTAGCGAGTTAGCCTTACCCCAAATCTCGACATATTGTATCCATGTCTCAAATCTTCTTTCAACCGTAGATGAACCATGGAGTAACATATCATAATGCTATTGGATACCAGCAGGAAGATATTCAAATCTACTTTTAATTTGCATCAACATTGGCATGAAATAAATATGATTGCCTACAGCGAATTGGTGATACGTATCACTGAGGTATTGATCCTGGCTAGCAGTCAACCTCATTTTTATCACTCCCAATCTATTTGACATGGTGATCAATTTCAGAAGAATCAAGGCTAGGAGGTCGCAGCAACGAAATGATGAAACAAGCAGAATCTGCAAAAAAATCCGAAGTAATTCCCATGCTATCTACCTCCACTGAATTGAAACAGCGTTGCTATATTGATTCTGATGTACCGGACCTGATCGTCTTTGCTCATTAAAAGACGAGTAGTGAGAACGGCCGTGGCTTTCGGGCCACAATCAAAGTGTTTGAATTGCGTACAACTTTAGCCCACTATTTCTAACGCTTGTGCCTGCAGATATGCCAACGATTTGCTGGATAAAGAATGGCGCAGCAAGTTTCTTGCAAAGGATATGCACCTTCAAAAGCTTTGTGGAACGGTAGGGTAATGTTTGGCAAGGCTACCTAATCCACTCTCCTAATTTGATCTTTGTAGAGTGAATCCTTGGGATGGCACGATCGATCCACAATCTGTGATTCATAAACCTTTGTTCCCTCCCCTCTTCAAAACACTTAGTTACTTATCTACTACCTTCGTTCTTCGAATTATAATCCTTCATACAATTTCTTCAATACTCTCTTGAGTAGTGGAACACTTTCGCTTTGGACACCATTCACATCTAACGTCACTTCCCTCTTAATGTGAGTCTTTACTTACACGCGAAAGCTTATATAACTTTAAATACTGACCTTTCTTCTTCAGTTCAACACTTTTCGTTAAGAAAGTCTCCTGGTTGTTTAAAAGTTTCACATATACTTAAATCACTTGTCACCATCAAGATGCATTCAAAAATGATCTCATCAGTTCTTGTAACTGCACTCCTCGGTCTTGCGCAAGCGCAAACAACAACCTTCCCAATAACCGGTACTTTGGGCAACGCGACCATCCCCGAAAATAATCCAGTCGGTCCAATCTATGTCGCCACCCTTCCAGATATGGAGTTCTTCAACCCTGATGACCCACGTGGTAACATCAAAGGATCTGTCTCCGCAACTGCCAACCCTGATGGCATCGGTGTTCAATTCCAAGTTCAATTCTCTAACCTCCCCACCAGTGGTGGACCATTCGGTAAGTACTTCGCATGATTAGCCATCTTTCCACCTCCCCTCACTAACACACACTTTAGTCTACCATCTCCACGCCCATCCCGTTCCCTCGGACGGAAACTGCACCGGTACCCTCGGCCATCTCGATCCTTTCCTCCGCGGCGAAACCCCCGCTTGCAACTCCTCCCTTCCCCAAACCTGTCAAGTGGGTGATCTCTCTGGAAAACACGGCAAAGTCACTTCAGATCCCTTCCAAGCTTCTTACGTCGACGAGTTTGCTTCCACACTCGAAGGCTTGGGTAGTTTCTTCGGTAATCGCTCATTGACTGTTCATTTCGGAAACACTACCCGAATCACCTGTGCGAACTTTACCTTGTTGGATGGTGTTGTAGGAGGTGATTATGAGGGAAGCGCGAACAGCACGAGAGATGGTGCAAATGGAACTGCTACCAGTACTGGTGGACCTGCACAATTCACCGGCGCGGCTGGAAAGATCAGTGTTCAGAGCAGTTTGATAGCTATCATGGGTGCTGTTTTGGTGTTCGCGCTTTGAGCAGGTGATATCTACAATGATATTTCAAAACAAAAATGACGATGATAATATGGAGGAAAAGAGAGACGTGGAGTTTTTGGCGTTCAAGATATCCATCATACCCGGCACAAGGCCTGCTTAATAACTGCAATAATGGAAGAAATGGTTATTTTACAGAGGTAATTGCGAACTGGAGTGGTTAGATAATAGATAGATAGCTGTCTGCTGATTAGGTAGGGATGTGTGCATAATTCATAAACGTATTGGCTTTGATCCGTCTGGTATCCTATGCTTGAGAATACAAACGGTTTATGAGGAGATTTGGAGTTATGAATTGTCGTATGTCTGAGTAGATAGTATCTTCGCATTCTGATTCTGATCCACAAAACTACATCTTCCGCATGCCCTTCGATTCTTCAAGATTTTTCAAATGCTCCACCTCTCTACCTAGGTATATCCACCAAAGTCCCAAATACCACCCACGCCCTCTCTTCCTCCCCTCCGCGCCACTCGCCAAGCATTTCCTTCCCCCTCTAGCACACTTCTTCTCGAAGCAAACATCCCCTTCTACGCATTCTATCTGAACATAAACATAAACATAAACATAAACATCCGAAGTCCTCACATTTCTTAGCCATCTTGGCAATCTCCAACTCTTCACATTTCTTTTCATGCCTATCCCTGTTATTTATTGATATCGACGAATTGGTGGAAAAGTCGGATAGATAGTTTGTTTCGAATCTTGGTACTGGGTATCTGTGCTGAATTGAATTGAATTGAATGTTAACGTATGTTTGTTCTGATTTTTTGCTTTGGTTTTTTTTTTTGAGACAAAGAATGAAATAAATAAATAAAATACACCCTGCTGGAATATCTTCCCAACTTCGGATGTGTTTACCTCGATTGTCAAATCACAACATCTTCCCTTGAGAGAAGTAAAACAGAGCACCCTTCTCATTCTTCATATTCTATGATTTCTGGGAGAAGGCCTGGCTGCGCTTAAGTTATGTGTCCTTAAGAGATATATGATCACTTATTGAGGTATACGGTATGAGTCGATATTCGAATAATGTTCTACCTTCTTGACCTGATCTGTACGACGGTGACATGTTTAAGAGAATGAGGATTTCTTTCCCATAAACAATCTATACATGAAGATAATGTGAATTTCGCAGTAACCAAGAATTTCATTGGAAACTATGACAATCCTAGTACAAGAAGATCTTCGTGAGAGGAGAGTTCGATGACTGAATTAAGACTATTATTGTACAAAGTAATTGTATTTAACATATCATATCAAATCAACTTATCAAAACACCCTCCAATCTTCCCTTCAATTTTCCCCTCTCCCTTTCTCCTGAACTCCAATCGCCGCCCAAGATTAAATATTAATTGGGTATGTATTTATATATGTCAAACGTCCATATCTATATCAAACACAAAATGTAAAGCGAAGTTAGAAAGCACAAATTAGCGACTAGCGGTATTCTCTTTCTCAACCAGATGAACCGCTTCCTCTTGCTTACTCTGAGTCCTCTGACTCAAGACTCCTTGTCCAGCCTCAACACCCGCTCCAGTAGACTCAGCACTCATAACACCATTGCCATTCTTTGTCCACTCCGGACTATGTCTTGGGTCTCTGGCGCGAGGATCCGCACACATACGATCAATTGATTCCAAAGACTGACCCTTAGTTTCATAGATAAAGACATAAGCGAACAAAGCAGATAGGAAACCGGTAGCCCCGAAAATGAAAAATACCTTAGCCTTCAAATTCGCATTTTCTTCGCCTACCAAATATGGGGTGACGAATGCGATGATGAAGTTCCAAAACCAATTCGAGGCGGTACTGAGAGCGACTCCACGACCGCGAAGAGCCAATGGAAACATCTCGCCAGATACCGCCCAGGCGGTAGGACCCCAAGTGCTGGCAAAGAAGAAGATGTGGACTAAGACGAAGACAAAAAGGACCCATTGAGCGGCTTTGTTATCGGTGAGCACAGTGCCGACAATGGCGATGATAAATTCGCAGAGAGACATGAAGATGCCGCCATAGATGAGAAGCGGACGTCTGCCAAATCTTTCAATGGTCCAGAAAGAGATGGGGGTTGAGAGAACGTTTACTGTGCTGTGTTAGTTTACGTGTTGATAATTTTCGGGGATTGAAATTCACTTACCAACGTTTGTAATTGTAGCCAATAGGAAGACACTGGTTAGTCCAACTTGTGCGAAATACGTTGTGCCATAGTAGAAGATGAAATTGACACCAGCTATAATAATGGTTAATGACATTTTAAGATCATACTTGAGGTACAGAGATGGCTTACTTAGTTGTTGCATCATTTGTACCATTGTACCGATGAAGGTTCTATAAAGATTGCTTCCGCGATGGAAACCCCCGGCAAAGAGGTCTTTCCATGCACCGTTACCATTTGCACGCTCGATCCTAGTATCCTCAATCATAACCGCATATTCTCTTTCAAGATATACATTGCCATCAGCGCGTCCACGCAATCTCTTCAAAGCTGCCTTGGCCTGTTCCTCTCTTCCCTTGGAGAGATACCATCTTGGGGATTCAGGGAGAATAAGAATCAAGCCGACAAAAAGGAAAGCTGCAAAGACAAACTGCAATCCGATAGGAATTTGAAATGAGGCGTTACTTCGGATATCTTTGGTACCTTGATTGACTCCCGAAGCGATGAGAAGACCGATTGTAATACCAAATTGATAGACACTAATACAGGCACCTCGGATCTTCTGGGGGCAAATCTCCGTTTGGAAGGCAATGATATTGGCAGACACAAAACCGATACCAAAACCAGCGATAGCACGACCAGCAGCCAGCATACCAATAACCGGATAAGCGACTTGGAGGACGACACCGGCACAGTAGATAGCGCAACCGATGAGGATAGTGTTACGACGGCCCCATCTGTCAGACGAGTAGCCAGAGACAAGGGCACCGAGGAACGTGCCGACGGAGAGTAAGGAAACTATGACAGATTTGCCCCAGGTAGGATACATATAGCCCATGTAGCCCAACGGATCAGTTGAGGGCTCGCCATAAGCCAATTTGAAGTAATCCACTATTATTGAGAGGTGGTTAACATGTATACATGGATAGATAGAAAATTAGAAAGAACTTACTCCCAAGGCAGCCGTTGATGTAACCAGCATCGTAACCGAAGAGGAAACCACCAGTGGCAGGGAAAGAACATCTGAGTTTTTCCGTGAAAGAAATAGGAGGGTTGTCATGCGGATGGACATCTCTGTCCTCGTTCGATTTATTGGTTGCCATGTTTGGAATATGTTATAGATGTTGATTTCAAATGAAATATAGAGCGGACCGAGGTGAAGAGAAAATGCTCAGATTATATAGCCATTGAAATGCGGAGATACGCCAGATTGCAAAATCATCTAAAGCCATCTTTACCCACTTTATCCACATGACGTGCAGCATAAGTGCATGACCTTGATGGTTCGATGAATGACGGATAACGTGAAACTAAAGTAGTTCTCCCCACTTGGGAAAACTCTAAATTGATGTCTTGCATAGCACTATGTCTCTTAATGGTGAGCTTTAAGGGGCAGGATGCTCGGCCATAGTCTTGGCTTTTTTTCCCGTGTAGGATTGACTATAACAGTAATACTAAGCGTAGACTATTAGGCTAGAATCGCTTGCTAGTCCATTACCTAGAGCTCAACCCCAAAGCTAGTTTTCAGATCTCCAAGTCAAAGAAATGGCTCGAACTACTTCGTATACCACAGAGAGTTCCGCTCATTTCCATAATCTCACATCTACATTGCCAACCTTCCTCATGATATGCTTTGACACCTATCAAAAGGTTCGCAAATCTACAAAAACATGACAGCTGTATAAAATGTTCATCGCAAGTCAAATATGAGTTGACAGGTTGTCTTAAAGATATGCCACAACCGTTGGCACTAGCCAAGGTGGGGAAAGTTTAGCATGAGCTAAAACGATCGATTTCTCTCAACTGAGTTTAAAGCTAAATTATTTACAATTTAGGCTCCAATCATTCATAAACCAAGGGTTTTATAAGAACTTATTAGCAGAAAGTAATGCTTGATTGAAGAGGAAAGGTCACATGGATGAACTAATAGCCAGCCATAATTGAGCTCTTTCATTACTAAGTTTTAGTCCATTGGACGAGTACGACTAGAATGGACAAAAAGATGCAAGTTATTCGCAACCTCGTCATAGAATAAGTCTGATTGATCCTTAGTACTGTGAATCAACTCGGTGTTTATTCGTAGCATTTCACCCAGATCAACACCAATTTTTACATCAACGAATAGCAACCAAGAAAGAAGGAAAGAAAAAGACATGTATGCCGTGGTATCTATGCGATAAAAGATGAAATCAAAAGAGGTATATCCAATTACAATACAGGAAGGGCATTGCGGTTCAAAGACCCATAAAAGCAAACCGAAAATCCCCCCTCGCTTCCCAAGAAAGAAATAAAGAAAGAGGCTCCGTGGAGCCAAGAAATCATATGGAGCAAGAGATATGCCATTCATCATTGGTGAGCGTAATATTGCATGTTTATGTTTTGAGGAGAATGCTGTAAGTTTTGAGGGGATTGACCATAGGAGGAAGAGCTACCCTGGGCACGACTCATGGGTACTTGCTGAAAGTTGGACATGGGATCCACACTCAAAGAATCGAAGCCAAATGTATTTTGATCCATCATATATGTTGAAACTGGAGGGGAAGTCGTAACGAAAGGTTGGTTCATTGAGAACCCGATAGCGGAGTGAGGGGTTTGATTAAAATTCTGATTGGATTGAGATTGAAAAGAATCGGGACCGATTGAAGCAAAGGCAGAATGGGGAGGATGATCAACCTTGTTTTGAATGAAGCTACTGGTAGTATCAATAGTTCCAAAAGCTGAGTGGGGTTGATCGATTTTATTGCTGACAAAGCCGGTATTAATATATGATGGCGTAGGATGATGCATATTGTTAAGGTTAGTTGAGTTCATTGAGCGAAACTGTCGTGGTTGGTTTGTTTGTTGGGCACTATATGCATTGGCATTGGCATTGGCATTGGAAAATAGTGGAAATTGTTCATTGGGGTTTCCTTGCACCATTGGAGTGTGTGTCATTGAGTTTCCCATGACATACGTCGGTGAAGGGCCAGACGTAGAATAAAATGCAGGTTGATGGAAACCTGCGCTGAATTGAGGTACCATGGGGATGTTGGGTGAAATGCTTTCCATGCCATAAGGACTTGACTCCTCGAATTTGGTTTTGCCCATTGGAGTTATTGGAGTAAGATTTTGTTCGATTGGGCTGATAATCGTATCAGCATCGACATTCTTCTGGTCAACAAGTTGAAGAATTGGTAAACTGATATGCTCCATGTGTTTCGCCAGATGAACAGTAAGTTTTTTCCAAGTGGTGAAGGATTTGCCGCAGAATTTGCAGGGCTCATCCTGTGGTTTATTTGTTGTTTCGTGGTGACACCTTTCTAGCATCGCCCAAGCTTGCTCAGTATGTTTAGCCTTTTTGATAGCTGCTTTTGTCTTTTGTTTAGGCTCTGGTAATTTGTGCTCACGAACCAGATGCTGCAAAAAGTTATCCTTTCGATAACAAGGATGTGTGCAATCTTCGATTTGACATATCCACCACTCCAAATGCCTGTGTCTCTCATTCTCATGGCGAACCCAGTCGGCTTTGCGTTTGAATGATTTGGGCTCCCTACACTTATCATATGTACAAGTGAATGGTTGCACGTCTTCATGCACATGCTTTGTCCAATCTGAAGGTTTGTGGAATTTCTTGGATTTGAAGCACAATTGACATTCAAATTCCGCAGGAAGATTTCGAGTTGGTGGTAATGGGACACCTTTGGGGAAAGTTTCGCTAGAAAGAGCACCATCACCAGGGTTCGAATCGTCGGAAAAGTCTGTGACAAGTTGTAGCCCACCAGCACTACGGTCATGCTCTCGATTCTTTCCCTTGGCATCATATAATGTAGCACTTCCGCCCAATGCGATGCAATGCGGTCTTGCAGAACAATTTTGATTCATGATGGCTTGCATGTGTTTCACCCGCTGATCAAGAAGATTCTTGTATCGAATTTCTTGCTGATGAGCAATGCGACTGACAAGCCAACTGAATTTTGTATCCATGTCGGGATTTAGCCGCCTTACGTGCTCCTTGAAACCTTCATAAGTAGGAACAATTGGTTCCGATTGAGTAGGTTCCATTCTAATGTCACCTTCATCGCCTTGCTCATCATCTTCATCATCCTCAGACTCAGGCTCGACCTGAGGAGCCAAACTTGGAATAGGTGGGCCACCTTGTTTCTTCCAGAGCTCACCAATAGCAGATATCGAAGTAGCAGACCCGCCTTCTCGAATCGATAGATCGCTCTTACTTCTAGTCCGCCCGCTATCTTTACGAAGGAAGGGTAGATTTAAAAGGGGGCTTTTCGGAGATGCTGCACTCATAGAGCCATTACGAGTGTGTGGGGTGTGGTGTGCACTTGTACCCACTGCAGTTCCGATTCCAGAAATTGCAGCTATTGCAGTGTTGAGACTTGGTGTTGGCTTCTTGCCAAAGCTAGATGTTCTTGGTGGTGGTGCTAGATTGTTTGAGTTGTTTTGCTTTTGCTTCATTTCCATTGAAGAATCTTGCAAGTTTGAAGAGCTGCGAGTTCTCTTGTTAAGATTACTGTTACTTCTCACGCGAGTAACAGCGCGTTGTCCCAAGTTTGAAAGATTAGTCCAACGCCCTGATCCTTTCCTTTCTGGCTTGATCGATAATTTTTTGAGGAGACTACCGTCGGCCACGGCGTCATAATCCATCAAGCTTGGCTCACTTCTTCGTCGCGTGCCCCAAGTTGCTGCACGTGAGATTATTGAGAAAGTATCTGCGTTTCCATTCCACTTTTGAATGGCATCGTTTGCCGTAGCTGGTGCTTGAAAGTTGGTGACCGTCATGTATGGTAGCGCAGGAGCATCATTGAATTGACGTATTTGGCTCATCAATTTCACATCGTCATCAGTTGGGGAGTCGCCTTTGATGTTATAGTAAACTTGCCCATCAAGAAACCTATTCTCTCTAATGCTTGCGGCATCGTCCACCGGTGCCAAATTAACTTCAGCCTGCTCAACTTGTACAGCATAAGTCGATTCTCTAGATCTCGGCACATTTGGATCGCTGGCTGAATTGCCTCTCTGGCGCCATAAGTATACCTGTATGTTCGTGTCATCGATATGCCGTTGCTCTTCTTGTTCTTTCAGATTAGGAATTTCGGCGCCGGAGAACGCTTTTCGACTTTCAGGATCTAATCCCGCCAGGCCCGTTGTGTCATTCGGACTCCATAGTCCTTCATCATTCCGCAATGCGGTCGGTTTGGGGCTCTGATCGAAACTCTGGGATGGATATTGATAATCTTCAAAATTGGGTTTAACTGGCTCCCTGTTTTGATTCACATTCAGCGCAAAATTGCGCCTAGCCGAAGATTGTTCTTCAGCCCAATGCGAAACAGTCACATGCGGACTGTGGGCACGAAAAGCCATGCCGGTCGGTTCAAATCCCTCAGCACTCGTACGACTGCTGCCGCTATTCTCTGGTGTCAATTGCAGTGTATTAAGTGTCGATGTCAATTCTGGGAATGGAAATCCCAATTGATTAATCTCGTTGTCGATCTCTATTTCGTGATGTGTGATTCTTGAATGGATCTTATCATTCGCCTCACTTCTAGGGGAGGGCGTGTTTGGAATACTTGTATTTTTTGGGCTGAGCGGATAGTTCGAAGCTGTGAGAGCTTCTGGTGATTTTTGACTCCTAGTATTCGAAGATACCTGATGTGTGGCTTTTGTATACGCTTCCGTCGGATATGTTGTAAGATTAGATGGTAGTGAGTCTATTCGCTGCACGCCGGCGTCGAAGTCCACTCCAAGGAATTCGTCCTCGATTTCGCTGTAGTCGCTACCAAAGTTGCTAAATTCGGAAAGACTTTCGACTGGTGTACTACCAATGTTGTATGGACTTGTAGAATTACTGAGTGTATGCGATTGATTGTACGGAGACAGGAGAGTAGGATCAAATTGTGTGTTGGCTATGTGATGTGTATTCAGGCAGAGCGAGTCGGTCTCTTCTCGTGAGTATTGAACTTGAGCGTCGACTAAATGTGATGAGATGGAAGTGTATGAAGACATAACGTGTGGAGAATATAGGAGGCTATGTATTTCTTGGGGGTACGATATGTATAAAAAGCTGTGGTCTTCTTATTGTAGGCCTAATCAGCTATAAGTGTGGTCA